TTTGAACTTATGTTTTAAAATGTAACTTCTTCAATGACAGTTTAATTGTTAACGGTGGCTCTGTTGAACAACTGACTCTCAGTATTCCTGAAAATTTAACCATCAGGTCTCTTGCGCTGGCTCTAGCACATCAGGTGGGACCCAGAGAAGTTACTGTCTTACACAAGGTCCTCGGATGAGTCACGGCAGGACCTGGATTATTACAGAGTTGTTTCTAAAAACCAGACTTCTCTAGACAGATTTACTTATCAGTGTTTCTTTTTATTCATTTGTTTATTTCTTTACTACATCCTTTAACAATCCATAAAAGGGATTTAGGACTATTACAGGCTGTTATTATCTACTGAGACAGTAAGAGTCAGAATATTTGAATATATCTGGAACAAAGATGGGAGAGTGGGCCGGGGGCAATGGCTTACGCCTGTAATCCCAGCACTTTGGGAGGCCGAGGCGGTTGGATCACCTGAGGTCAGGAACCTGAGGTCAGCTTGGTCAACGTAGTAAAACCCCGTCTCTACTAAAAATACAAAAATTAGCTGGGTGTGGTGGTGGGTGCCTGTAATCCCAGCTACTTGGGGGGCTGAGGCAAGAGAATCCCTTGAACCCAGGAGGCGGAGGTTGTAGTGATCTGAGTTCGCACCACTGCACTCCAGTCTGGGTGACAGAGCGAGACTCTATCTCAAAAAGGAAAAAAAAAAAAAGATGGAAGAGTAGAAAGCAGATGAGATTTAGAGCTATAAGTAAATTCTGGCTTTGAGTCTTGGCCTTGTCATCTTGATCAAGTGAGTTACTCCCTGGTATAAGTTTTCTAATCTGAAGATGCAGGAATTGGACCACATGAACATTTAATATCTTGTAAGTCTAAAATGTGGTTCCTTATTTAGTTTCATCAATTCAGTAATATTTGCTTAGTACCAACTATATGCACTCTCATTATGAACTGTACTCCAGGCAGAATGAATTACAGATATGATAATAAATATTATTATAGCATCTCACATTTATGCAGAGCCTTCTGATTTACCGAAGAGAAAATTTACTGTGAGTCTCTGGGATTCTGTGGCTTTAGGAGATCAGGACACATCTTAACAGAATGTTAGAGAAAGAAAAAGCTATTCTAGAAGTGCAAATAGAACCTTATTCCTAGGAAACAGAAGAGGTCATACCCAGGTAGTAATAAGGAATAAGGAATAAGCACTTTTTCTGTCATGTCTAGCAGTTGCTTCACTTTGTTTTTTTAAAGAAGCAACAAAATTATTTTTTTCTGAGTACAAAATTTTTGTAGAAAATTTAGAAATTATTAAGAAGTATTAAATAAGGAAAAAACCATATATATCCAATCTAATATTCTGCTTTTCTTTACCTAATAATATTATATTTTTCAAAACATTCTTAGTAGAATCATTTTAATTGCTGTATGTATAATAATTTTATCTTTTTGGTGTATAGTAACTTACTTATCTGATGTCTTATTGTTGGAAATTTTATTTATTGACAATTTTTTTTATTCTAAAGAACACTGTGGATAAATAGCTTTGTTCCATATCAAAAATTATATATTGGACACATGATTTTCAACTTTAATATTTAAGGTTTAGTAAGACAGTTTTAGCAAATTATATACTTTTGACCTTTAGATTCTTTGATTCTATCAATATTGTATTGTGTTTACCTAGATTTTGTTCTGTCTCTGAACATTTATTAAGAAGAACATTTTGTTGGAATTCTTCAATATGGTATGTTTGAACTGGAAATAGCACCACTGTTTTCACATTATTTCAAGTAGGTATGATAAAGTGTAGGGTTAACAGTTTTCTTTTTCAACTTTCTGTGGGAGATATCCTCTATCTAGTATCAGGTTTCTTGGTTTAGAAATTGCTCAATAAATATTCAATAAATAAAAAGATTCATGCTAATTTAGGATAAGCAAAAACACACGAGAGGGTGTTTAAAAAACCCACTTCTCCATTTATGATAATAGCTTTCATTCTCACAAGGAGAAATAACAGCTAAGCACAGTTCAGGAATTCTGACTGTTGAATGAGAACTGTGAAATGAAATATGTCGGCGCTTTAATTCACCTACATGGGAAACCATGACTCAGATAGTTATTTGATTAAATGTTAATGAGATCTACTAAATTGACCCAGTTCTTACTTTTATGTATTAGATTTATATCAATTAAAACAGGACCAGTTTTACCTCTTTTCATTCTTTAACATCTTTGAGTCAACATCGGCTTACAAGGGAAGTGCTGTAACTACCCTGGTTATTTAAATATTAATGGCTTCCATTAAAGGGGGCTGGGGATTGGCAGCAGGAAGATTGAGAAATTAGACGGCATGATTGGTTTCTTGTTTCTGTCCCCAGGAAAAAAAAAAAAAAACAAAACCTCCTACTGAAAGAGCTTCTTCCATTATTTTTTTAATCTTGCATATATATATATATTTTTTCTGAACCAGTTAGAGAGTAAGATTGTTGATTTCAGGCATCCCTTGAAAGTAGCTATGCTATAAAAGCATCAGTGTAAACAAGTTCACATAATTTAAAAAAATGTTTTAACATTGCCATAGAGGTCATTACCCTGGGGCTTCTTGGGAACCTAATTTCAGTTCCTAAATTCATTTTGTTGTTTATTATAGTCAGTAATAGGCAAAAGCATTTTTTAGCTCCATACTGGATTCGGCTGGCCTTATTTACATTAAGTGTGGAGAATTCTAGTAAGTTAACCCTGACAGACATGACAAGGGTTATATATTCAATCATGTTATAATTATAAACCTTTATGTTACTGGGGAAATGTGCCTGAAAAGCTTTTAAAATTTGCTATAATCAATATTTTCATGTTATGCCAAATTGGGTTGTAATAAGCATGTGGTTAAAAGATTTTTACACATTTTGTATTTTTAAGATGTTCTAATGGCTTGGCATTTTAAAGCACTGAACCAAAGCAGGCATTGTATTTGCATAATTATGTATCTCTTTTTGCATCCAGAAATGTGTGTGGAGTACTCATTCATTTCGTGTATTTGATTTAGAATTTACAGCTAAGAACACAGATCATGCTTAAATAGCAGGAGTGCAGAGTCATGTAACGGCCCTGGTGTGCTTGTCATAATTCCCTACTTTGCAAGGTCAGGATTAGAGCGAGACAAGAGAGGCACTGCCTCAGGTGTAAAACTTAATAAAGTGTCAAAAAAAACTCAAGATCAGTGATATTTTAAGGTAATAGTTAAAAAAAACTGTATAATACAGAGAAAAATTAATGATAACAAAAATGGTCAACATTTTAGATCAAGATGAGCTCTGACCCTACATCCGTACCTCTCTCATTTCTCCCTAGTCCTGGCCTTGAGTGGGGTCAAGTCCTGGTTTCTTTACTTTCATGTCCTTGCATGAGACACTCTTTTGATTCAAGTTTTCCTTATCTGAATTCGGTGATAATAATCCTCACTCTCCTGGTGACAAGGATTTTTTCCTTGGCCAAATTTTAGTCAGGCTTCTGAATCTTCTGGGGTTGGCCCGTTTGTGCACTTCCTTGTAAAATCCAGTTTTAGCAAAGGACACTGGTAAGTCGTTTTACCAAGAACCACCAGCATCAACATCCGATCACCTCAACATTTGACCAGGTTTCTCATCCTGCACCATCCACCAGGTGATGTCTGATCACCCTGGCCTGTCTTCAGCGAGAATCCTATTAGGTTTAGCCAGATCCACCTTACCCCAAGGCTTCCTTTGAGTAATTTTCCATCCACTGACCCCCACACTGCTCCTTAGCTATAAATTCCCACTGGCCCATGCTGCATTTGGAGTTGAGCCCAATCTCTCTCCCTTTCTGCAAGACTCTGTTGACTGCAAGGTCCTTGTGCCTATCATTATCCTAATAAAGTCTTTGTCTGCGTGCTTTAACAAATACCATTCATTTTTTTCTAACACTGGTGAAATTAGGAGATTCAAATCAGCTACAAATACATGGGAAAGCCCACTATATGTATAATTTACATATTGATGTACAAGTAAATCATTATACAATTTTATGCCATTACTATTATCATCTCAGATGAATATTCTAAGCAAACATCAGATTTGAAGATCTTTGGAAAGCTTTGTGCTAATGGTTTGGGGCCTAATGTCTTTAATTTACTTATCAGCTAGCAATAAGGGGAGGGATCTAAGGGTAGTTGTAGGACCCCCTCCCCCTTTCTTTCTTCATTTCCGTTTTTGTTTTTGTTGTTGTTGTTCTTTGATACAAACTGAGGGCTTATAAGAGATAGAGAACATAAGCAGAAATCCATTGCTTCTTTGAAATTTCCCTGCAAGGTGTGCAAGGATGCCTGAGGTCTCACCTTTGCTTAAGCTGTTTCCACCCACCCGTGATGCCTTTCCCATTTCTCCCACCTGTCTGAGAACCATTCACCTTTTGTCCACATCCAACTTGGGTAAGGCCTTTCTATGATCTTTTGACCTGAAATATGCTCTCAATCCTCTGCCCTTCTGTGGTGACATAGTGATTTCTACCACCCATTTATGGTCAGTTACAGAGTTCTTGTTGTTCTGAGGCTTTATTGAATCCTCCATTGAATTTACTTTCCAAACTGCATTTTAGAAAATGTCAGTGGTTCACTCCTATAATCCCAGCACTTTGGGTGGCTGAGATGGGAGGATTGCTTGAGCCCAGGAGGTCAAGGCAGCAGTGAGCCGCGATTGTGCTACTGCACTCTAGCTTGAGCAACAGAGCAAGACTCTGTTAAAAAAAAAAAAAAATCAGTAATTTAAAAATTACTGACATTGTAAATCCCTTGAAGGATCTCCCATTAGCCTGTGAATTTAAGGGTAAGCAGGGATTGGGTGTGCTTATTTATGGTGCTATCCAAGGTCCTTGCAGAGGGCCTTTACACACAATAATGTTTTTAAGTGAATAAATGAATTTCTTGCATGTAAAAGGGCCAGGTAAATATTTACTCTTTTGATTCATTTTTGGAATGCTGTTTTTATCCTAGACCCTGAGAGATGGTTGGCGCCATGTGGAAGGTGATTGTTTCGCTGGTCCTGTTGGCGCCTGGCCCCTGTGATGGGCTGTTTCGCTCCCTATACAGAAGTGTTTCCATGCCACCTAAGGGAGACTCAGGACAGCCATTGTTTCTCACCCCTTACATTGAAGCTGGGAAGATCCAAAAAGGTAAGTAAGTTTAATTAAATCAGAGAACCACTGGCATGAATTCAACAGTTTTTCTTTTTTTTTTGAGACGAAGTCTCACTCTGTCACTAGGCTGGAGGGCAGTGGTGTGATCTCGGCTCACTGCAACCTCTGCCTCCCAGGTTCAAGCAATTCTCCTGCCTCAGCCTCCCAAGTAGCTGGGATTGTAGACGCACGCTACCATGCCCAGCTAATTTTTGTATTTTTAGTAGAGATGGAGTTTCACCATATTGGCCAGGATGGTCTCAATCTCTTGACCTCATGATTCGCCCACCTCGGCCTCCCAAAGTGCTGGGATTACAGTTGTGAGCCACTGCACCTGGCCAATAGTTTTTCTTAAAACAACCCATAGGATGCAAAATATATTTCAGTATTTTTACTCAGTTGTTTTATTTCAAATATATATGTTTGTTTGTTTGTTTGTTTGAGACAGAGTCTTTCTCTGTCACCCAGGCTGGAGTGCAGTGGTACATCCTCTGCTTACTGCAACCTCTGCCTCTCGGGCTCAAGTGATTCTCCTGCCTCAGCCTCCCGAGTTGCTGGGATTACAGGTGCCTACCACCACGCCTGGCTAATTTTTGTATTTTTAGTAGAAACGGGGTTTCACCATGTTGGCCAGGCTAGTTTTGAACTCCTAACCTTTGGTGATCCGCCCTCCTCAGCCTTCAGAAGTGCTGGGATTACAGGCATGAGCCACCGCACCTGGCCTATTTCAAATATTAATGACTTGATGTCATATGTTATCTGAGTTTTTAGCTAAAATGAGAATTAGCCAGGGCTGAATTACCTGCATGTTTGAGTTGCAGCATTTTATTTATAAGACTAGTAGAGTGCCTGTCCCCCAGTGAGCACTTATTGCTAGTACTATCCTTAAAACTTACTATGAGTCAATCACTGGTTCCAAGCTTTCTGCATGAACTTACTTAAACATGTCAACATCCTAGGGAGGTGGACCCATTTTATACATGTGAAACCAACACAGAAAGAGACTGAACTACTAGCCAGAGTTCACGCAGATACCAGCTGGTGTGTAGGCTTCATACTCAGACAGCCTCACTGCAGCCTCCCTGCTGTGCCCCCTTATCCAGCAAGTCTAGGCCTTGGTTTTCTCATTAAGATAAGATGGAGATTTAACAACTTACCCAACTTGCAGAGATATTATAAAAATCCAACGAGATAAGACACATGAAAATTTTTGTACTCTATAAATTGTTCTCCAAATATGAGTGTTTGCAGATGGCTTTATTTAGAGATTGTGGGTTTTTCTATTGTTATTACTAATAGGAAAATATATATCACTTAGTGTTATCAGAGACTAAAATTTATGACCTGCATTTTTTTTTTTTTTTTTGAGACGGAATCTTGCTCTGTTGCCAGGCTGGAGTGCAGTGGCGCAGCCTCGACTCACTGCACCCTCCGCCTCCTGGGTTCAAGCAATTCTCTTGCCTCAGCCTCCTGAGTAGCTGGAATTACAGATGTGCGCTACCACGCTCGGCTAATTTTTATATTTTTAGTAGAGATGGGGTTTCGCCTTGTTGGCCAAGCTTGTCTCAAACTCCTAACCTCAAGTCATCCGCCTGCCTCAGCCTCCCAAAGTGCTGGGATTATGGGTGTGAGCCACCGCCTCTGGCCCTGTATCTATCTGCTCTTAATGCTTCTTTGTGCTTAATCACTGTGCAGGTAAATGATTTCAACTTTCTGGACTTCTGTAGGTTCCTGGGCTATAAAATAGTAGACAGGTAGCTATTCTGAGGAGCTGTTTGCAAAGAGCAGCAGAGAAATGGCGTAGTGGCTGGAGGGAGCACTGGGGTCCAGGAAGGGTCTTCAACAGAATAGGAGAGAATGTTTGTTTGCTGATGGAAATGATGAGTGGGGAGTTGGTTTAGTTTGGGGAACCATTGTTGGAGATTGTGTTTAAGAAGGTGAGAGACAGGGATCTGGCACACAGGAGCCCCAAGTTTGTCCCTTGTCTTAGGTGGAAAGGCAGAGATGGTGCCTGTGAAGCTGGCAGCTTGGCAGATGTGATGGGAATGAAGAAGAACACTGGAAATTTTACACAAATGGTCATTTTAAAGATCAAAAGCAAATCTAAATACTCTACAAAGAAGTTTAAAATAAAGCAAATTTTATTCATTCGAAGTATTCTCACAGCCAATAGGATGTCATTGTTTTTTGGTTTTCATTTTACACGAAGACAATCTTACATTTTAAGGGTATGTGTAAGTGCTGTTCATATGTCTTTTTCTGAAATACACATTGGCTTCAAGTTTCACCATCTCTTTTCTAAGGAAAGATGAAAAACTTTGATAATGTATTTAGTGTATTTTAAAAAGGACTGATTTTTACCTCGCATAGAGAAGTCATGGGAAGATGGCTGCCCCACTGTATGGGCTGATACAGATGCGTGTGAAGAGGCAAAGTATCATTGACTCAAACCCTCCAAATTGGATTACATGTACGTATTTCAGCTTTCTCAACAAGTGGATTCTGATGGCTTAGATTTATGTTCATTAACAGTAAATCAAAGCAAACCATTTATTGTAGGATTGAAAAGGAGTTAAGTAATTGTTATAACCAAATTCTACCAATCCACATATGAGGAAATTGAGACTGAAATACTTTACCTGAGTTGCCCAACGGGATGTGTGCAATAGAGTTGGGTAGCAGAGATGGGTTTAGGACCCAAATCTTCTGACTTCTACTCTGTGATTTGCCTACTATAATTTAGTTCTGTTTGTTTCACAAGCTTCTAAAGTGTTCTTCTAAAGTGACCGGATGCATACACACAAAACAATTAAGGAATTGGGTAGTGCATACTAACGTACTAAAGTAGTACATTTGAAGTAAGTGCACTGGAGATTCGGAGAAGGAACGTATGCCTGTTGGTTGGCATAATCTAGGGAGAAAATACTAAAGCTATAGTAGTTGTAGTAAAAATAATAAGTAGCTAACATTTAGTCATTATATCCCTAGTACCTAGCATAGTACCTCTACATGTATGTATAAATATGTATGGAATTTAAATTTGGGTACCAACCATGTGCCAGGCATTGTGCTTTACATCCATTAGCTCATTTAGTTCTCAGAGCAACCCTAATGAAAAATCCATAAGCATTGTTCCCATTTTACAAATGAGAACACTGAGGCCCAGAAAAATCAAATATCTTGCCTAGGGCCATAAAACTAGTAAGTGGCAGAGCTGGAATTAAAACCTGTACTGGCTAACCCCAGGGCCCGTGGTATGAACCACTATGCTATATGAGCAGCTCTGAATTAAACCCTATACTGGCCAACCCCGGAGCCCATTGTATGAACCACTGTGCTGTATGACCAGCTGTGGACTTCAGAGTGTTGGGTAAGATTTATGTAAATAGCGAAAGGTCTGTGCATACCAAAGGAGAGAAGCAGCTTAAACAAAGGCATTAAGTGAAAGTGACCGTGGTGTATCGTACATCTGGTGGAACCAAGTAAAAAGAATACAGAGAAATCCATCTGAGAGACTGTTGACATCCCTTCTGTTCCTGTCTTTCTTGCCTATAAGCATTCCTCAGTTATGGGTACTAGTAGCAGCCGAGAAAGATTCCAGGGGAAGTAGTTTTATCTTCCACCCTCTATGTCAAGATTGGTAGATCTTCATCTGATGATTGACAACATTTAAAATAGTAAATCTGTGTATAATATCACTTCCTGAAGTTACGCTACACAGTCAAATTCTTTGAACAGAATTTTAAGTGGCTGATTCAAAATCTGTTACATCTGGGTATTCAAATGTAGCCCTGACAACATAATTAAGGATAATTTTATTCATCCGCTTTGCTGAAAGTTCAGGAAGCTCTGGACAGATGGTCAGCTCACTCCCCTAAATCCCTTTTGTTTATCGAGTCTGTCAAAACCCTAGGAATGTGAGTCTTATTATTGCAATGGAACATTTTCGAGATAAACAGTAGCTCACAAAAAAAAACAAGGGAAATTTTTATTTTTCAAATCCCCAATTAACTGGCTTAGTTTTGTGTAATTGTAATTGCATGTTTACTTTCTCTGAAGCTAGAATAAATCTTTACTCCCTGAAACAAACTGAACGTAGGAGGCACATTTTAGCTTGTTTATAAACACTGCATTTTCACACTTTAAAGACTATTTTACTAGTAGGTCCTAATTTATTGTTACTTATGATCTGGTATTGTGTGTCCACACTGCTGATAACTTGAGTGTTTGTGAATCTGACATGCATGTTGATTAGCTGGTTGAAGCCCTTTGTTGGTCACACTCCAATGTTTTTGAAAGTGTTAATATCACAAACACTGGTAGCAGCAATAAAAAACAAGGAGGAAGTAAAATCACTTCAAAGAGAACCTTTTCCTTTTTAAAACTGTTCTAAACATTTGGATTGTGAGTCATGATGCCGGAAAGATAGAAACTCCTCCACCTTGGGAGTGAGTTTGTTTTCCACATTACAGTAATAGGATGCACAGGACATTTGAAAATATAAAAAGTCATTTTAGTTGATGACATTTTTTATTATTTTACTGGGATTTAGTTAGTGGAAATTTAAAATTTGAAACAGGGCAAAACTCTTTTTATGGGCTAGAGAAAAGTTCTAAATTTCTTTAGATCTCTTAACAAGGTCTGCCTTAGGAGGTTTTTGTAGAAATGAGCTAGTCTTAGTGCATTGTCATTGGGGCTTGTTTTAGTTCATTCATTTGTTGACTCGTTCATCCATTCATTTGTTAACATTCATTCATTAAAAAGTATTTATTGAATGTCTTAGATGTGTAAATCAGCATGCCAAGTCCCAAGGTATGCAAAGTTAAATAAGACAAATTCCCCACTTCCCAACCTCCTGACCTAGGAGGGAAGGCCTGAAATATACGCCAAGTACAAGGTAGCAGAGAAGCTACTTTGGCATCCTCGGGAAGGGAGGGATGAGTGAACATCTGAATCATTTGAGAGCAGTCCGTGGACCCTGTGGGGTGCTGGTCTTGGGAGAGATAAATTGATTCAATCATCCTCTCCTCTGTTCCATTCCCTCCAGCTCCTTTCTATTATATATTTTCTCTTTTTCTCATTATACTTGGACCTTTCTCACTTTTTTCTGTCTTCTTTCTCAAATCCTCTTCTTCCCATTTACCTCTCTGTGGTCCACATCTCACTCATTTCCGATCCACAGTTTTTACTTCTCTCCT